CCCCGGCCCGATCAGCTTCTTCATTGGAGTGGGAAAAGGGAAACCCTGGTTGAGATTGGATTCCAGAAGACCCTGCACCGTTGACTATTTGTGGGCCCCGTACGAATCTATACCGATCTTCTCGTATCGCCCTCGAGGAATGAGGGAAAAACAAGAAAGAATATTCTTTTCATTGTTTTTTTTTTAATTTTTTTTTTCTTCTTTTATTGCGAATCTTATTGCATCGTTTATTATCCACGATTATTGCAATCACTTGTAAATTTGAAAAAAGTAACAACGCCCGCGCGGCCGCATACGGTGCAATGCAATAGATGATGCAGTAAGATTTGCAATAGGAAAAAAAAAAAGACAAAAAAAAAAAAAGTACGTACGTGCGGCGAAAACGACAATGGGGGAGTTCTTTTGATCGCGTGAGTTCGTGGACCAAACTTCTGCATCGAAAGAGTCGTCATGTTTGTTTGTTTGATCATAGGAGTTAATTTCTCTTAGTTATATTCGACATTTTTTTCCCTTTTGTATGGATAGATTTGGGGTGATAGAATGATGATCCTTTTTAGGGTTTCATCGGATTGCGATGATGTCTTCATGCAATCGCGATGCAGTTATATTCTTGTAGATGCTACAGTTGGTCAAATACACCAGATAGTGCATTGTTATATCTACATGCATACATTGAATGTGTGCAAAAAATTGATAGTTATAATGAATACGTGTGTATTTGATAAGATGTTACGAGTGAAATTCATCGAGTGTAGCGTCAGAAAAAAAAACCCTAAATGGTCCATGCAATTGGAGTTTATAAGGAACAAAGAGAATTGGCTATCACACAAAGTGGTGTATTATATTGTATATAAGTTGGGGGTGAACGTACTTGCATGCATAATTTGTTTTTGTTCTTTGTTTTTTTTTTTTGGTTTTTTTTTTTTTTTTTTTGTTATCGTTCGAAATTTGTAAAGTGTAGCGACCTATTTTTGTTGAATGTATGTATGTATATATTGTTCTCTTCACGAGCTTACGCTTTTCGTAAATTTCGAACACCGAATAGTTGTTTCCATCCAGCTATGGCGATTATCTTATTTACTAATTGATGAGTAATTAACAGAGGGGAAAATAACAATCTCCAAGCCATATAATTTAACCATGATGAAAAAATAACGTAGTGGCGAATAATTAGAAGCCGATATTTATCACTCAAAATAATCGAAGCTAATACATTGGTGTATCAGAACTTAAGCTCGGACAGACAAACAAGAAAAGAACAAAAAAATCAAGCAAATCAAGAAACAGAGAGTATCGTTGTGAATAATCGAATTGCATTGTGTTTTTCGAGTATTTTTTTTATCTTCTATGCATTTGGTGTGGCTGTGACAGGACATTTTCCCAATGTATTCCACAAAATATAATCCCCAGCAGTAACCTATTAATTATTATAGCATTAATAAATGAATATTGAAATGATTATTAGAAAATAAACGACACAAAGATAAGATTACCTGTGTTGAAATTTCCACCGGGGCTTTAACTGTCGGAAAGATGTTTACCTGCATAAGCGTAAATATCCCAACTCAATAATTGAATACTGAAAGAATGGTACAAAAAGAGTTCATGTATCTAAATACGATTAACTGCTTGACAAAGAAGGTTCCAATCCGATTGGATTAAAAATAAACGAAAGAAAAACACGAAGCAATTTTCCCCTTTTATGAATCGGGAAATCATTCCGATTTAAGATTGACACAATTTGCAGAGATCTCCACTTTTATGCTCTTTGAATGAAACAAGAAAACCGAAACAGGAAGTTGTATGGTTTTAAACGGAACTGATCAGAGGTGAAGGCATATCTCGTTATAAGAAACAATGGTAACTGCAAGTGACGAAAGACTTACAGATTTAGGATCAATCGACATTCCGGATAAGGAAGGTCCTATCATCTTGAAAGAGACCTGCACCCATGAGAGTAAGTAACATGACATATATAAAGTTGTTTGCTTGAACAAATAAAAGTTACGAGTGCGAAAGGAATATACTTTTGCATAGTTGTATCCCTGCCAGCAAAAGGGATCTTCCAGATCAGCAGCATGAAGATCCTTGGTCATTTTCTCCATTATATAATCCTCAACATTTACCATACTGCCACCAGACTCCGTTTCATGATCACTGTCTTCATCAGCCATGATTCCAAGTGCCGAGCCATATGAAGGCGTTCTTTGAGGTTGCCACGGAGCAAATCTGACAGTCCCGGGAAAAGTCGCCTCAATCGTCTTCCCAGATACACTACGAGTGTTGGTTACAATCTTCCACTCAACGGAATATTCCGTATTTGATACCGTTCCGATCGAAGGCGTACCGTCGAAAGATAGCACCTTCCTCCTCGGAAAAGGCATAGTCACCGTACAGAACTCCATCACCACAGGAGCTTTATAACCTTCCAGAAGGCTCAACCTAAACAAAAACGCACCCTCGTTTTCCGACACCATCGAAAGCTGGTAAAACCCCTTTACTGGGGGCCCCACAGAACAGTGCGCTTGATAGTGCATCAACACGAAATTCCCTAACGGGGGCGAAAAGGTGATGCCCTGTTTGTCGCCACCATGCTCGGGAACTTGAGCACAAGGGTGGAAGGTTAAAGACTCGATTCGGGCGGCGTCCAGTCCGGTCAGCGGGAAGGAGACGTCGGGCAGGCCTTCTAACTCTGCTCGACAGTTGACCTGCCCGGAAATTGTTATCACGTCAGGAATTTCGTCTCGATCGTACAGTGCCGCGTGGACTGTGTCGTGGACTGTGAAAAGAATCCGTTGCTTCCCTCTGTATAGATACGGCTTCCAAGCTGGTTGCTTACGCTCTGTGGGAGGTGTATCTGATGAAGAAAATCCGGTTGTCTTGATCGCAGAAATGTTTGAATAGCTGAGATCTAGTGGTGTGCCTATAACGAGGAGTATAAAAGGATCAATAAAACAATATTATAGAACATTCGAACCCCAAAAGGCCAAAACAAATCAAGAGGAGCAATGCCGGATCTAGTAATTTTTTTATATTTTAACAAGTATAAACTTACGATCATTCACCTATGCTTTCACAATTTTTTTTCATGATTATCTCGACATATTCCCACAATAATCTCAAAACCCCAGAGGTTCGAATCGACACTCTAATTGCTACTTTATTGTATATGTTTAATGAAATAGATAAACAACAATTATATCACTACATCTAATGTTTATACCTCTAATAGTTATTCTATTGTACATGATAATGTTTTATATAAGTAACTAGATTTTGGAAAAGAAAAATGGTGAATGTAAATAAAGAAGACAGAAATATGATTTGAGAAACGAGATATAATTAGGGCTTTCTCAACCAATTGAAATTTTCTAAGAAAACTTCTTTTAGGAAATGAATATCGAAAGGATTTGCTAAGACATTATTTAATTGCTATGTATTAGACTTTTTCAGATTGGTGTGATTTATTTATACTTTTATTTTGTCCTTTATTTTCAGTTAAAAATGTTAAATATGTTGTTTGTTTAAATAGTGATACAAATTTCCTTTTTCTTTTTTCAAATTATTCGACGAGAAAATACCATTAAAAAAAAGGATTACCAACCAAAGGGCATGGCGCTGCTGATGAAAGACCGAAGTACATCCTTCTCCAATGGCCTAGAAACCGCCTTTGGAGAATCGAACGTTACAGTACCGCTTGAAGACGTTCCGGAAACAGTGGATGCTGAGACAGGTGAAGCTACGGGTTTTGCTCTTGCTGAGATACCTGAAATTCCGATACTACCCGTCAGGGAATCCAGTAACCCTCCCACCGAGGGTGATGCAGCAACAAGTACTTCTGGCTCCATTACTTCTCCAAGTATTACGTCTCCAATTGCTTGCGCCACAATAAACCCCCTAATTCACAAATTAAATTGATATGTTGAGCGTAACAATTCAAGAAAACAGTAATCGAAAATATTATATCCGTATCACCTAAAAGCAAATGTGATAGTTTTGGTGGGCAAAAAAAAGGGGAACTTCAATCAAGCAAGTAAAAAAATGTACAACTTACCATACCCTGTGATGGATGGAAGATCGAGGAGGAGCGAAGACAAATTCTCATCTGCTCCTACGGCGCTACCACAGTCCGATTTACCGCACATTCTCGAATAAGATTTCAAATGGCGTGGTTCAACCAAAGGCAGAACAAGAATCGAATAAGAACCCTTTATATGCAATACGAGAGGCCACAAGAGATTGTTCTCCACTTTCTCTTCTCCATTGATGAACAAACTAATTACATGACGAGTAATCGGATCATCAAGCCATGAATCTGATCCTCTAACAGATTGGCTTACACGTATACCGAATCCTCGAGCAGAACCCTCCCTTCATTATTCAGTGAACCAGTTACAACCATCGCAATAAATGATAATAATCCACATTTATACAAAAAAATGGTAAAATGTAAAATTGAGCTAAACAAACACAAATTCTGTAAACCTATCAAACGAAAGACATTTTCAATCCAAAAAAAAAAATTCTGAATCTGACCTCTTTTTGCGGTCAATGAAAGCAGCAGCCAACTCTGAATCATTGGGCAATAAATAATACTTCAGATTATCGTCAGTTTCCTTTTCACAAGACACGCGCCACCGCTTCTCCACCACCGGAAATTTCCTGATAATTTATTTTTATCCAAATTAACTGTAAAACCCTCAATTTCACCCATCGATCTGACGCTATTGAAAAAAAATTACGACGAACTAAAATGAAATCAAACACTACCTGGAGAAAATAACAGTGTCTTGATTGTTGAGAATCCACAGAGCTCTGATGCAGCAGCCACTCGGCATTTTCACTTTTCGTTTCTCCTTCAAAATTTTCTGTTTGTGCAGAGGAGCAATGAGTAAACTTTAAGAGAGAGACGACCCGACCCGGCTCAACCCGACCCGAATGGGACCGAATCACATTTTCTTATGAAATATGTATTATTTATATATTCATAATATAATAAAGTAAATAAAAGATAAACGTAAGCACGTTTGCTAATTGCCAACCATTTCACTTTGACCTTATAAACTTTTTTGCTAAATTCATTTTAAGTTCAATTATATATTGAAATAATTTACTAATTTCACCAATAACGGTTTAAAAACCGAAAATTTCCCGAACCGATCTTTTTTTTTTCCTTTTTCCCGAAACCGATTGTTACCAACTTAATAAGTTAACATCAATTTCAAACGGCGGATTAATCGTGTAAAAAAACGGTTATTTGAGGACCAAATTCGTGGCAGAAAAAATTTAAGGACCAAATCGAAAAATGTGAATAATATAGGGACAAAAACTGTAATTAAAATTTCCCAAATCAATTGTTTTTTTCCTTTTCCCGAAACTGATTGGTACCAACTTAATAAGTTGACATCAATTTCAAACGCCGGATTAATAGTGTTAAAAACCCGGTTATTTGAAGACCAATTTCGTGGCAGAAAAAATTGAAAGACCAAAATTGAAAACTGTGTATAATATAGGGACGAAAACTGTAATTATTTCTTACTAAGTCCATTTAATTTTATTGTAATATATAATAATTCAAACATGTAAAATTACTATAGAATCCAAACCAGAATCCCACACATACAATAGTAAACCAACAGTCAATCAGACCTTATTACCAACTACACTACAAATACAACACGAGACAACAGAATACATACTAAGTCACGCTTTATTTCGACCGGTGTGTCTTTTTCAAACTAACGGAAAACGATTTCAAAGGTCAACGCATAGGTAGTTGATGATGGAACCCGCTCGTCTCTCTGTCCTGGCACTAACCTTCCACTTCTCGACTAATATCTTCTTGATCCTCGTACATGTTGTAACAATGGTGGCGACTCCAACTTCTGTGATTCCGGGGCAATAAACCATGTGGCAAGATTCCAGAAATGCGCACTTTCTTGCGAGATAGCTAACACCCGTGTCTGTTATTTGTCGACAATGTGATATAACTATGTCTTTGAGTAATGGGCAGCCTTCGCCCAACTCCATTATTGCATTGTCTCTGAGGTTCTGTCTCGTAGAAAAACAAAGCATATAATTGCAGCTTATAAACTAACTATGTATTGGGTCAAGTTGGCAAAACGGAGGGTCGTATATACATAACACATGTTCAAATTAGTATTATTTTTCAGGGACGATAAAAGAATATTCTTTTTAGCAATGGCGTTTACGAATGTATAGATACGGGAGGGACGGGGTCCAAAGGCAAACCTGAAGAACGCTAACATCGAGATAACTAAGTTGAGGGGAGCCTCTAGCAATAGCTATTATTCCAGCATCCCGAATTTGGTGGCAGCCGCTTACATTCAAATGGTGTAGGGAACAGCCTTGACCTATTGAAATCAGTGCCTCGTCCCCGATTCTGGTAATCATAATCATACACCCGAGAAATATCAGATTTAAGATTTAAATAACCCTTAAATTTAGCAAATTGATCTTATCAAGATAAACGGAAAACGAGGGGAAGAGAGGGATTCCTAACCTGTCACAGAATCGTAGGCTGAGATCTGTGAGGAACTTACAATTTTGACCAATAGCAATTATTCCTTTATTGCCCACCTGTTAACGGTGCAAACGAAAGCCATACTTAGAAACGAGAGTGTTAGAATAGAATCGAGGACTAAACCAATAACATGCAAAGAATGGTTGATTTCAGGTGGGAAAAAAATAATGACGAGTACCTCATAACATCGTCGAATATGGAGCTTCCTTAAGTTCTTACACCCTCTAGCAATACTACATATCGATTCATCTCCAATACCCGAGCAATCCACCAAGTGAAGAGCTTGCAGGTACTTGCATCCTTTACCGATTTCACTTAATCCGTCGTTTTCTATCCGCTGACAGTACAGCAACGCTAACTCCGAGAGTTGGCTGCAGTCATAATCAGTGAGATTAACAACAAAAAAAACGTTTACGAGAAATAAATGAGAAAGCAAGCACAAGAAGAGAGGCCAGACACTTACACGCAATTTTTTCCGATAGATTTCAGTCCGTCAGTTCCTATATTGTGGCAGCCATTTAGTTCAATATGCGTAAGCTCTGAGCAACCAACAGCTACAGAATCCAAACCCTTGTTACTTAGAAAGTAGCAGTCGCTCAACGTAAGATTTTTCAACTTCTTACATCGTTTTCCAATGGCATACAGACTCCTGCAAATGGAGAGAAGATGGTCTTCGATATCAATTACACTATTTTTTTCGGGCCTTAATATTCAATTACATCAATAAAATAAGGGCTATGACTACTATAGAGAATAAACGGGTTATTCCGTACATCTCTACTCAAAAAGCGTTAGCGTAAATCGAGGGAAAAAAGATTGACCTGTCTGTGAATTTCTGGAAGCTGTATAGGGCCAATGTCTCCAAAGATAAACAGAAAACGCCAACAGCTTGCAAAGCCTCGTCTGTTACATTTAGGCACTGAAGTTTGAGAACTTTCAGCATAGAGCATCCTTTGGCGACGGCAACCAAGCCTTTGTTGTGGATGATCTCCGAGTCTAGTGACAAGGATTCAAGAGATCTGCAGTGAGATCCCACTGCTTCTAACGAGAGATCGGTGATTTTAGCACAAGCTGCAACCCCAAGCGATTTCAAATTCCTCCCGCAGCTAACGGCCACAAGAACCAGTCCTGCGTCCGTCAATCCTTCGCAAAAACGCAAATTCAGATCCTGAAGAAATTTACAGCATTCTGCTACAGCAGTCAAACCTCCATCTCCGATGTAGCAGCCCTTAAAGCGAGAATAAGAATTAAAGAAACTCAGGTGATAGTCATTGATCGAAGAGCAAACAGAATACACTAACAAAGAACTTACGCTTCCACCACAGAACCAACATATCTAAGGATATTGTTCAGTTACAATTACCTGTAAATCCAGAGATTTAAGTGATCTACATTTCTCAGCAAAAGATCGAAGCCCCACATCTGTAATGCTAGAGCACCATATAAGAGACAAATTCTCAAGTTTCAAAAAGCTCTCTCCGACAGCTGCCAAACCAGCGTCCGACAAGCTGTTTGTCCCCATCACATCATCTCCGGGCATACTTTGATCAGACCCATCGCGATTAGTTCGACGTCTTTTTATCTGCATCACGAGAAGATATTAGTTGATGTCAAAAATTGAGCTACGCTTATAGTGTCTATCCCAAATTCTACACGAAAACAACGAGAAGAATTAATACGATCAGCTCGATTGAGTACACCAATGTACCCCCAATGACTTCTCAAATTTAAGGAAAATCCTACTAAATTGAAGATTAAAAAAAGAAGTACATATCGAAATCGAACACATAGTAATTCATCACCTTGATGGAGTAAATTTAACAACCTGAATATTTCCACAAAATTGCATATTCACTAATCAGCAAAACAACACACACCCAAACAAAAAAAACCTTGAAAATCAACTACAAAATAATTGTAACCAATCTAAACAAATCGTCCATTATCTTATCCAGCCAGTATAATTTAACAAAAAAAAAAAAGGTGCAGATAATGATTGAGGTCACCTACATATTTTACAGGCAGTGAAATAGAGAGGCGTTCGTCAATAAATATGGATCGCGTATTAGGGTATCGGCGGCTAAGCAGGTTGACGAGGTTGCCCGGGGCGGCGGAGGCGCCGATGCGGATGGTGTCACGGCTGAGGCACTCGAGGCTGAGCCACCGCTTGCAAACAAGCGAGCAGGCGTCGCGGCTCGGCTTCGAATCAACGTGCCGGAATATCTCCAGTATCAATTCGTCCGGCAGAACCGCGTTGATCAGATCGGAACCCCTCATTTTTTTTCTTCTCTCTCTGATTTCCTTAATTTACAATCTCCACCTCCAAATTGTGCGAGCAATAGATACAGGATGCAAAATAGAGAATCGATAGATACACATTTATGTAATCTCACACAGTAGTGTGTGTGTGTGTGTTGGGTGTGGTGAATTTTCAGGTGAGGGGTAAAGCAGATTTAATGCTAATCTACTGCCAGAGATGAAAGAGATCGCTTCCAATACGGGAAAGCTTGGGTTTTTATTTTTTTATTTTTTTATTGGGAAAAAAAAGTAAAAAACTGAAACTTTATATTAAATTACATGATTATTTAGAAGAAATTTTGAAAATGCATAATAATAAATTTGAAAAGGGAAAATATTTTTGGTTCTTCAAAAATATATTTGATAATTTATAATATGTAAATATATATATTTATGAGAAAAATACAAGTTTTGTCCTTCAAGTTTGCACCGATTTCACATTTGGTCCCCCATGCTTACAAAAAAACACATTTGGTCCCTCATGTTTTAAACATTTAATATTTATAGTATTTTTCGTCAATTTTTCGTTAGTACTAACGCAATCAAGCGTGTGTACATCAGTGACTGGCGGACCAATGGCAAATTGACGGAAATGGCCATAAATGTTAAATTATTGAAACATGAGGGACTAAATGTGTTTTTTTGTAAACATGGGGACCAAATGTGCAATCGGTGCAAAGTTAAGGGATGAAAACGATATTTTTCTAATATTTATGTGTTAATTATGGTCACCCCTGAGGTAATGTCAAATTATGAAAAAAATCTTCTTGTTTGGGTAATTACAACCACCCCTTCAACTATGAATCTTCTTACACGTCCACTCTTATGGTGTCCAATTCAATATAATTTTTTAGATTCCGTGAAATGTTCTCCAGTATGTACTCGTTTTACGCAAAAATGCAGTTTCTGATGCACCACAATCTGATATTCACAAACCAAGAGACACATTGTATGATCATCGTATTTCAAAATGTGGAGTAAAATATGTACAAACTGGAGAATATTATATACAATCTAGAAGATTCCACTAAATTTAACACCGCAAGGGTGAACGCATAAGAAGATTCATAGTTGAGGGTGGTCGTAATTACCGAAAAATGAGGGGGTTTTTTCGTAATTTGATATTATTCATTATTTACTCTAAAAAATATATTTGATAATTTTCGAGAGAAACTATTGGAGTTTAGAATTTAGATGGGGCAAATAAATTAACTTAATAGGACTGTTGGGCTAGGCCCATTAGCGGAGCCTTATATATAAGGTGGTACTGAAATGATTTCAACGACTTTATACTAAAAGCGGGTTTAATATATTTTGCGCTTTTACAGACAAACACGCGTACTTCACTAATATCGACCAATCAATCAATCAGGAAATCCAAAACCAGAACTGATTTCTGCAAAAAAAAAATCCTCCCAACTACCACTCTCACACTTCCCGCAAAATTCAAGCCATCGCAACAAAATTCTGATTGAAGCCCAGCGATTATCGGTTAGGAATTTCATAGATTTTGAGAGAAATTCGACAATGTCGTTCTCGTTCTTCAAGCAATCGAGGCCTAGAACCCCGCAGGAATTGGCGAAGGCGATCAAGGATAGTCTCGTGGCTCTGGACTCCAAAACTGTAGCTGAAGTCAAAGCCCTAGAAAAGGTCAGCATTTTTTTTTTTTTTTGTTTTTTTGTTTTTTTGCTTTTTTCTTTTCAAGTAGTGCCGGAGTTAATTTGTGATGTTTTTTTTTTTTTTGCTGGAGTGTTGTTATGGTGCGTTGATTATGGTATAATTGGTGTTTTTATGTTCGATTAAGTACCGATTTTTTGTTGAAATGCGTCCCGGTTTCGATATTGAAAAGCGAAAATGAAGTTGTTTCTGAAATTTAGTAGTATTCTGTGATAAATTTTGCTTCAATTTATAATGTGGTTGATCTATGATGTTTTTTTTTTTTTGGCTGGAGTGTTGTTATGCTGCGCTGATTATGGTATAATTAGTGTTTTTATGCTCGATTAAGTACCGATTTTTTGTTGAAATGCGTCCCTGTTTCGATATTTAAAAAGCGATATGGAAGTTGTCTCTGAATTTTAGTAGTATTCTGTTGATGATTGTACTGGTTATCTAGACTTTTGAATTGTTACTTCAATGTAGCTCAAACATTTGCTCCGTGGAGAAATATGTTTGCGGAATGCGATAGGAACTAGTTAGAAAGAGCAAAACTTGCAGTTGGATTGTTATAATTTTATCTATAATGAGTTTTTTTGTAAATGAATATGGCATCTTCTCAAAATTACTGTGTTATGTACGATGAGTTAATACGTGAGTATGCCGCCGTTATATATAAGAGTTACCATTCGATCTTCGTTTTAATCATTTGAGGAGAAATTTTTTTATTTATCTCTAATTCAGTGCGTACATAATTGAAGTAGATGGCATGTACATAGCATCATATTACTTATTTTGGCCGTACTATGATACAGGCTTTAGAGGAAGTTGAGAAGAACATAGTGACAATGAGAACCATGTTGTCGGGAGATGGCGAGATTGAGCCAAATTCTGATCAAATCGCACAGTTGACCCTTGAAATCTGTAACGAAGACGTTATTTCTCTTCTTTTTCACAAGTTACCTACTCTGGGATGGGAAGTAAGTACTTAGTCAATATATTACTGTCAAATAAAGCAAAACTTAGAAATGTATGTAGATATACGCACTGTATTTCTGTACTTGAGAATCGTATGATATCTCCACGCAGACAAGGAAAAATATAGTTCACTGTTGGTCGATATTGCTAAAGCAAAAGGTTGATTCAGTGTTTTGCTGTGTACAATACCTGGAGAACCATCTGGAGTTGCTTGACTTCCTTGTCGTTTGGTGAGAGCATATATATATTTATTTATACGCCAGATGCTCAGCTTTCATTTATTTTTTCATGTATCCTGATGGCATGTGTAATTTATTCTATCGTTAAGATAAATTTCTTAAGTTTATGAAATCCCGGAGATGATTTATTGTATGAATTAAAGCTAATTGCAATTAATAGCTAACTCTATGATATTTAATTAGCATACACTTCCTTTATTGGTTGTAAGCATTTTGTACAAATTTTCCGGGATACTGAATTTAATGTTCTCTTCTGGTTTGTACTGCAATAAATGGATTTTTGACAATCTTCATGATTGTGTTATGTCTTCTCATGTCAAATTGATGTTTGACAATCGGCTATATACTGTGTGTACAACAAACAGCTACGATAACAAGGAAATCGCTCTGACTTGTGGGCATATGCTGAGGGAGTGTATCAAATTGCCGACTCTTGCAAAGTAAGATAGACATGCCTTTCATTTTACTCGTTTTATATCCTATAGAAGTTGCCCGTTTCTCTGGTATTTACAAGGAAGGCTGCTCAAACCATGTGTCAGAAAAGGAATTTTACAAGGCCTCTTTTTATCTTGCAGAACTTCAATATCTAAAAATTACATAATTGTATTTCAGATACATATTGGAGTCTCCCAGCTTTGAGTTATTCTTCAAATTTGTTGAGTTACCTACCTTTGATGTTGCCTCTGATGCATTCGCTACATTTAAGGTAAGATCTCTCGTTTATTGATTCTCAGATGGTCTGATCATCGCCTTAAAGTACCTTGGTGCTATTATTTACTGTGTGACTGTCAATTTTCAGGATTTGCTCACTAAGCATGAAACTGCGGTTTCTGAATTCCTGACTACTCACTACGACGAGGTTCTACCCATTCTCTATCTGTATTACAATTGAAGTATAAAAATTTGTCAGTTAATTATCCCCGTCCAGAAGAAGTTTGTTGGCTTATATCATGTTATTCCAATAATAAACATATATATTGCAACATGTGAAAATTGTATACTCGTGTACTAAATAATTTTATCCCTTTTTTCAGTTTTTTGAGCAATATGAAATACTTTTGGCATCGGCTAACTACGTGACGAGAAGGCAGTCTTTGAAGGTTTGTTCACTGTAAGCTAATCTGGCTTCTCCGTTATATATCTTGTATTTTATTAACATGTTATCTTCAATGAACTTTAGCTTCTCTCGGACTTTCTTCTCGAGTCTCCGAATTCCCATATAATGAAACGCTACATTGCAGAGGTTCGCCACTTAAAAGTCATGATGACATTACTCAAGGTACTTTTCAAGTTTTCTCCCGATGGCTTTGGAATTTCTTTTATTTATACGATCAATATCAAGCACTTACAGTTGCACGAACGAAACTGCGTTCATTTTCACCTTTACCTACAACTTTGAGGAAGTTAAGAACAAGGTAGCCTACCCTTTTACTTCTTGGGGCATGAGTTAACCTTCTTACATATGTTCAACGCAGTTTGATTTTCGGAATCCATAATACAGTTAGTAAGCATATATGAATCATGGTGTATTTTAGTTGGTTATATATCTATCCACATGCTTATGTAAAGATTCTTTCATGCATTACATGCTTCCGAAGTTTAACAGAAAGTTGCTTTAAGGATAGTTTTTCGAATTGTCTTTTAAGATATTTTAGCATATTTTCTATAACCGAGATATATTTTTACAGGATTCTAGCAAAAACATCCAAATATCCGCCTTCCATATTTTCAAGGTAAACAACATGCTTATTCTCGTTTATTTGCAATTTTGGTAGAATTTAATGCTTTCTATGGATTGTTTCAATCTTGAGAAGCAAATTAGAGTGTTAAAGAAGGCTTATACTTCCCTTCTAATCTTGTGTGTGTGTGTGTGTGTGTGTGTGTATAGGACAATTTCGATATGATTTGCTTACATCGGCTGCAGGTTTTTGTGGCTAACCCAAACAAACCTCGTGACATAAAAGTTATCCTTGCAAAGAACCACGAAAGGCTTTTGGAACTGCTCCATAGTCTATCTCCTGGCAAAGGTTAACTACATTTCCATCCATAACCTTTTGTTTTTTTCTTACTAAACTGAAACAACTGGTTAAGAAACGAGACTATCGACAACCACAAAAGGCTTTATTCAAGATCTTTTTACCTGGTTTTATATACGTCCTTCGTCTTTCACACAGTAAATAATTTGTGCCCGGTAAAAATATGTCCGGTCATTGCAGGTGCCGAAGATGATCAATTTGAAGAGGAAAAGGAACTTATAATCAAGGAAATAGAGAGAGTATCTCGTCTTCCCAGGCTTGATTCTTAGGTAATTACCATTTTGACCTTCTTCATATATACATATATATTGATCGTCTATATAACTCGGGATCATGATCTTATTCTTCCAGAGTTCTTATATTCAAGCTTAGCATCTCCAACATTGAAAAGTAAAAAGAATTACCACGCATTACGGAAAAAAAAACCCGAAGGTATCAGATGCTTTATGACCGGCCGAAATCCATATATTTATAGCCTTTTATTCGTTTTTTTTTTTTTTTTTTTTTGTCTCCAGGTGGGGTTAAATGGCCTGTAGCTAATTATGCTGTATCATAAGCTCTTCAATTTGGAGATAGGATAATGTTAACTCATGTTCTTCATATTTGTCTAATCTTGCTCTGTGTATGTGTGTGTGTGTGTGTGTGTGTGTGTGTGTTCATATTTCAAGAATTTACAAATGTTCCTATGTTGTTATTTATGTAATTATATGAGCAAAAAGGTGTTGAGAAGGCTAACAAGTTTATATATAAGAAATTTCCGGAATCGAATGTGTCTCGTTTGTCATTTTGGAATTGAATTCGTCTGTGCTTATTTTACATCGTAGTTCATCACATATATGAAATGAATATAAAGATAGGGTAAATTACAAACACCCCTGAGGTATGGTCAAATTACAAAACCCCCCTTCTTGTTTGAAAAATTACAACCACCCCCTCAACTCCTCAAAATTAGTGGAGTCTTTGAGATTATATAGAATATTATCACTTTTGTATTCGTTTTATCCCATTCGAACTCTACATTATGAAGCAAGATGATCATAATATGTGTTTTTTAACTTGTATGTATCAGATTGTGGTGCATCGGAAACTGTATTTTTACACATAACGAGTACAAGCTAGAGCACATTCCACGGAATCTAGATGGTTTTGTTGAATTTGGCACCATAAGAGTGGAGGTGTAAGAAAAAATCATAATTGAAGGGGGTAGATGTAATTATCCAAACAAAAGGGGTTTTTTTCGTGAATTAACCATACTTCAGGGGGGTGTTTGTAATTTACCCTATAAAGATATGTAAATGAACTGAGCCGGCTCAAATAATAATATACACAACTATGGATTGAAGTTGGACGAATACGATAAATTAGCACTTTTGAAAAAAAAATCGGGTATTCATAATTGAACTTTGTGCACGTGAGTCCTTATATTTTAATATGCTCCATAGTATTCTCAAAAAAATTCTCTTCGTGATTATCAAATGGCATACCATAGCGGGGTCGTGCGCACATAGTTCAAACTACATGGTGGTTATGTCATATGTGCTTATATTGAAACTACAAGGGACTTATATGCACAAAGTTCAAATCCTAGAGGGTTAAACTGCAATTTACGAAAACAAATATACTATATACTCTAGCTAATGGCTAATAAATAATTAATGCACTATTAATATACACACAAGTCAATTAAAACGACGCCGCATCCATTTGCGTTTCCATTTCCATCGTGGTGGTATTATACGTATATACGCCGTCCACATTCTGTATCTATCTATCGAAATATCACCGACTCACGTTTTCAACTGTAATTCCCCCAAACCAAACCAAACCCTCATCAAGAACAATTGATTCAGATCTATCCGCCATCAATCACCAATTCATATAAGCGATGAACTGAACACACACAACACACGCTAACTGCGTGTATCGATCGATATACAGCATCGTCTGTATCTATCTCACCTCCTTCAATCTCTCCTCCCCCCCCAATGGACTTCTTCAAATCAGTGTTCTCTGAACCCACCCCCGACCCCTCTCCGCCGTCGACCCCCTCCACCCCCACGAATCCCGAAAATACCCCTCCTGCAGCTTCGTCATGGGAATTCGGATCGACCCTTTTCAGGACCATAGCATCGAAATCCGAATCCCTAATCGACAACTACTACAAAGATCTCCAGGACTTCAGCACGGAATTGAAAAAGGAGACCTCGGTTATACGCCAGGCCGCGAGCCGAGCCGTTCAGGACCTCCCGGCTCGGCTCGAGTCTGGTGCCGCCATTGCCCAGGAGTCGCTTGAAGCCGTGGGGCAGGCGATCGATAATGTTGGGTCTACCGTCTCCGAAATAATCGGTAAAGATTTGAACTTTGCCCCAAATGATGGTTATTCGGATAGTGATGATGATGCAGGAGTTAGTCCCGATCTTGGCGGGATCGCCAAGCCGTATAGTAGATTAGAGGCGATTATTCGTGGGTTGCAATCGAATGTTACGACTTACTGTGAGGAAGTGGAGGAGGGTGACTATAGCGAGTGGAAATTAGGGTTTAGAGTTGATGAAAGGAGAGATGAAATCGAACGATTAGTCAAAGAAAATGGTGTGATTAAGGAGATTTACGATGAGGTTGTGCCGGAGAAAGTCGATGAGGAGACATTTTGGTGCAGGTACTTTTATAGGGTTGATAAGATTGTTAAAGCAGAGGAGGCAAGAGCAAGGATTGTGAAACGGGCGATTTCTGGCGACGAAGAAGAAGAATTGAGTTGGGATGTTGACGATGATGATGATGAAGATGGTGTTGATAATAGTGAAGGGAATCTTGATTTAAAGCCGAAAGATGATTTGAAGAAAGATAATTCACAAGTTGAAATTGTGGAGGATGAGGGTGTTGGTGTATCGGGAACAAATAGTGGTGTTCTTGTAGATGATGATAATTTAGGGGAGGGGTTAATATGCAACGAGAAAGAGGTTTCTTCCGAGGGTAAAATTGGAAGTGATATTTCGATTATTTCGAGCCAAAGATCGTCGCATGCGGAGGATGATCTTGGGTGGGATGAGATTGAAGATATTGGGAGTGGCGACGAGAGCAAGATAACCGAACGTGGGTCCCACAAGAACACTAGTAGTGAAATCGATTTGGCGAAGCGGCCGAGTGGTGCGGAGGAAGATGAAGATCTGTCGTGGGATATTGAGGATGATGATGAAGATGTGCCGGTTAAGTTGTGATTTTGATTCTTTTGCTCAAGTTCATTGCAATTTCCGGTTTGCAAATACGAATAGCATTGAAATTGTGATGTTTATGTTTGTCTTCTCGTTTTTTTTCCCGGTCTATATGCTTACATAGTGTAAATTTGCTTCTCTATTTCGGAATCACAGTTGAGATAATTGTATCGTGTGAAGATCTCAGCTCTACTCCTTACTTTTTCGATTCAGCTCGATTATTGCTGAATGCTTGAAACTTGATATAATTACGATATACGTTGGCTTTATGACTAGCAATTGCGATGATACAAATTTTACGAATTAAGTGTGGGATTTCAATCTGCATGGATTTCTTCTTGTTCTTATTATTTGCACAATTGGTTTGTTAACATTTGAAACATATTGCTTGTCCTCTATCGAGTAACGACGGGGAGAAAACGAGAGAGAGAGAGAGAGAGAGAGAGAGAGAGAGAGAGAGAGAGAGAGAGAGAGAGAGAGAGAGAGAGTCCATGTATTATTCGTTATATTAGTAACAATGTAATACCGAACAGTGAATAATAAGTCATCTTCGCTCGATGTACCATCAACCTAATTTTTTGATTATGTTACGGACCAACAGTAAATCGCGGACCTCGTAATGTTTTCCTTGATTAAATTGGCACAAGGAATTAACTAACATACATTCACACTGAGTTCATTGAATTGTGGAAATTGCACAACAAAACATAGAATAAAATTTCTCGTCAGCATTTGAATATCACATTACAGAAAACTCAAATTTATACAAAATACGTAGCTTATTAATGTTGATCGACTCACACAAGTTCAAGACAAACCGTCCCCGTTTGAATACATGACTTTGTGATTAGTAGCAACCACATATTCACATGTGCAGAGAGACTTGCAATTTCCACACAATTGTCTCTATATATTTTGCTAGAGGAGAAAATAAATCAACAATCTATGATTTTACGAAAGAACAAAAACACGGTTTATGCAGCAAGTACATCATAGCTTTCAGTTGTCCTGTTTCAGCATTCGCAGAATGGTGAGGAAGAGATTGAGAACATCCAAATAAAGGGTCACAGAAGCCCAGATGTACTCATCATACGAGAATCGCTTGATCAGGTTTTGAGTGTCGTAAACAATGTAACCTGAGAAAATTATGGCACTAATTGCACCATAAATGGCGACAGTGGTAGATCCTAGCGGGAAGAACACCTGCATTACCAACAAATAGTATGCTTTTAATAAATATTAATCAATGATGCCAACTAATGCCCTCTACATAATAATCGAGATCAAGAGAAAGAGACCTGAATAAAACCGGTCAAAACCAAGATGAAGAGGCTAGTAAACAAGACGGGACCAAGGAAACTGAAGTCCTTGCCCTTCTTAGAAGCCCAGAAAGTATAGCCAGTCAGAGCTGAAACTACAGCTGACGTCAAGATTAAGGCTTCAAGCACAATTGCTCCTGTAAGGTGCAATCGAGAAAAGGATAAGCATTTATTTTATTACACCATTGTGTTCATCTTGAAATTTATTGTGAGCTACTTTACCTTCAGTGTTGGCACAGCTCACGCCAACTGTCAGGCTTAGAGAAGCGGTGAAGAGCCCAAGGAAAATGAAGTTCAGTGGGTGTGTTTGTTGATAAACATGCAGAGGCCACAACACTAGGCAAGAAATAGATTTCTTAGTAACAGGGAAATGAAGCAAGAAAAAGAAGAAAAAAAACGTAAAACATGCGAGATGACAAGGTAGTGGAACCTGAGAAGTGATATCATGTGTTGACAATTGTTTTTCAGCATTATCTTATGAAAACTAAGACGTGTTCCAAAAAAAATATAACCTTTTTAACCAAACTTTATTTCCAATAATATCTTTGTTAAGGCATCTCATCATAATGGAACCTTTTGGGTACAAGACCTCTTCTCCACATATTAACAATAATTTAAGTAAATCATCGGCTTGGCATTAGAATGATTTATGGGAAAGACAACCTATTCTCCATTAACAAAGCAAAATTAGACATCATGTAAAAAGTCCCAATAACCAGACAGATCTGCAATTTTTATGTATAAAATTACAATACATATATGAAAGGCAAGATCAGTGGATCAAGAAATTTCGACAATAAGACTCAAATATTGGTCAACGATTTCATGATGGTGTAATTATCGGGAGAGAAAAAAATATCTTAAAATTGCCCTAGCAAATGTCACCTATTGACAGATACCAATTTTTCATCAATGCACATAAGTATCAATCATCAGAGAAATGTACCACCTGGTTATGCAAATTGGATAATGCATATACAAAATCGCGATTAAAAGCAGAATCAATTAATTTAAAAAAAAAAAAAAAACTCTCACATATGAAGGGCGTGAAGATGAGGAAAAGCAGCAGGACGGAATTTCCGCGGAGGAGATCGTTGATCGGAGCGTACAGAACAACAGCCGCGGAGACGACGGTGGTCATGAGGATCTGCGCCGCCAATATCCCGTAGACTTTCTGTATGAACCCCCATCGCAGCTGATTCTCGCCGTGCCCGATCCCAGGGTACAGCATATCGCCGGATTCTATGTCGAATTCTCCGCCCTTCATCGCGGCGGGGCCGTCGCTACTCACGCCAGCGTAGCCGTACATCTTCTCAGATCTCTGGTTGCGACGACGATTTGGTCGGGTTCTCCTCTGCGATTTTCTCTCTCTAGATATTTCTGTGCTTATCTCTCTCTCTCTCTCTCTACCCAAATTACGGAGAGGTATATACTTAACTATTGAAATGACGCGTAAAGGATGATTTTTGTGTCGGTTCGGGTCGGATCCGGTTCTCAATCCGGGTGGGTCATGCTCCATCCTAGGATTCTAAAATAAAGCTAAAATAGTAAATTAAAATAAATAAAGGGTAAATTACAACCACACCCTTAAGGTATGATCAAATTATGAAAAAAAAACCCATCGTGTGTGGGTAATTACAACATAATCTTCTAGATTCCATGAATGCTCTCTAGTTTGTACTCGTTTTGACTTTTGTGCAAAAATGCGGTTTTTGATGCACCACAATCAAATATATATACAAGTCATAAAACACATCTTATGATCATTTTGCTTCAAAATGTAGAGCTCAATGGGTTAAAATAGGTACAAACTTGAGAATATTCCATATGATCTAGAAGATTCCACTAAATTTGACGCCATAAGGGTGGACGTGTAAGAAAATTCATAGTTAAGGAATAGTTGTAATTATCCAAAAATAAGGGGGTTTTCGTAATTTGAGCATACCTCAAGGGGTGGTTGTAATTTACCCAATACATCTTACTTCTTTATTGAGAGCGCATTAGGTGATTTTGCACTGTAGATCAATACAAATAACCACCCACTAAACACACATGTACATAAATATATATAATTATGTATGAATCAATGGTACAAAGTCACTAAATGTATTTCATCGAATGTAACATCTACAAAACCCTGAAACACCAACTTAAAATATAAAAAATAAAATTCCAAACTAGTCATGTATGGCATGAACACTAAGTCACATGTTTGAATATGTAAAATAAGTCATAATTTATAATTAAGCTTAATTTGATATTTTACTAATCCAAGCAATCTCCATAAAATGATATATTGCATTAATTTATTGAGCAATTTGAGTATTACCTCCCATAGTTAAATTATAAATTTGAATTCCCTTAACAATTAAGTTTTTGAATGAAAGTCAACTACAACTAGTCAACTACTATGCACATACATTAAAAAAAAAACCAAGAAATTCTCCAAAAGTACTTATTGCTTAAGACTTATAAGTTATATGCATCATGATCAACAAATGCCCACCACAAATGAATTGCAGGCTTAAACAGTCAAATTAAACCCAACTATACTTCCTCATTACAGCTTGTGATGCTACCATTGAACAACAACTACACATCAAGAAAAAGAAAAAAAAAACAGATCTTCCTATCAATTTCGTCATAATCATTTGAAAAAAAAATCGAAAAAATCAAGAACTTCATCTTCTCTCGAGAATTTCGTCCAACGATTTCCGAACGAGATGCGGATTATCTCGGCAAAGTTTCTCCACTAACGAAAAACAAATGCTCTCCCGAAGAACAAACCCCATCTTCAACATATGTTCCAAAACAAACAAAGCATCATCAAACATTTCATCTAAATAGACGCATTTAATTATCTCCTCAAAAGTCTTCTCTTTCGGTCTCACCCCTTTACGAATCATATACCTCAAACACTCGACCATTTCCGCAAACCGGCCTTGCTGGCTCAGCCCTAATATAATCGTGTTCAAAGAACAAATTGCGGGTTCTAATCCCCTACTTCTCATCTCCACCCACAACTTTTCTGCCTCTTTCACATTTCCAATCTCACAAAGCTTCTCAACCAACGTAACAAACGAGCCACTTGAAGGTTCGAAACCCTTCTTTAAAAGCTCGTTAAAGAAGTACGTAGCTTCGGTTATTTTTCCTTGTTGAGAAAACCCTTTAATCAGAGAGCTATAAGTAATGGAATCTTGAAAAATACCCTTCTCATTCATTTCTTCGAACAATACTCGAGCCTCTTCTACTTTCCCGTTTGAACACAACCCATTTATCCTTGTGTTAAAACTTATGGTACTCTCTTCATAGCCTTTGTCGAGCATCTCTTTATGAAGCTTCTCAGCTTCATTAATACAGCCACTCTTAAATAACCCGTCAATAAAAGCACTATAGGTATACTCGTTCGGTACAATCCCGTTTTGAATCATCTCAAACCACAGCTTTCTTGCACCTCCTAGATTCTTGTCTTCGCAAAGACCGTGGATCATAGTTGTGTACATAACCCTATCCGGAAAATAGCCTCTGTTTTTCAATTCGTTAAAGATTCGGAAACCTTCGGATGTCATTCCTCCTTTACATAATCTATTAATAACCTCTTGATAAGTGTCGTTACCTGGGGAACAATTCTTTGCAATCATGTTATTAAGAACGGCAGATACTTTCCCATAATCGCGATTCTTGCAAAACGAAGATATCAACTTAACGAAAATAATATTTTCCGGAACATGCCCAGCTTCTAACACCTGCTGAAGAAGCCCGTACCCTTTTGCAACATTTTCTTCCAAACAAAAAGCTTGAATCAAGTGCCCTACGGTTTTTACATCCGTTATTACATTATATTCCATCATATTCTCGTACAATTTCCAGACAACATCGACTCTTTTAGTTCTCACCGAGTGTGACAAAGCACAGTTCCATGTTTCCAACGAGATAGAATAACCAATCGATTTTTTCAACCGTTCAAACACATCGAGTGCCTTATCAATCAACCCGTTTTCACAGAGGCACCTTATATACAACTCTAAATACCACGGCTCTGGATCGAACTTGGTGGAATCGAGAAAATTCATCGCAGCCTGGGCCGCTTTCGCCTCCACAAGCCTACTAAACATCACATTGCATAAAACAGGATCGAACGAGGAATCGCTGAGGGACCTAAGCCAGAAAAAGAACCGGAGCGACAGAAAGACGTTGCTCTGTTTTAAAACCTCACTGTATACAGTAGGATCCGTGAAGTTTACGGTCGGAAAATCGGTTAAAAGGGTCTGTTCCCATCTGGGTCGGATCCGAATGAGATTCGAAACCTCTTTCGCGATCTCATTAACACTCGTAATTTGATGTTGGGCATAATTTTCCCCTAATTCTTCAGAACTTCTATTAGGCTCAACAAGATTAAAGATTCGATTTTGAGCAGAAATTTCATCTGGGTTTCCGTTAAATTGGTCAACACTGAGGTTTCGGCTTCGGATTTGGGGGGTGGTGGGTTGTAACGATTTAGGGTTTTGGCGGAGGCATAGATTTGAGAGAAACGATGGAATCCTGGCCATTGCCAATGCCAGTTCTACTGAGTCATTTTCATTCAGTGATTTGTAAACAGAAGAAATTGATAGAAATGCGATGATAATTTCTGCAACACAATAAAACTACTGTACCAAATTAGTTGCTGTATCGTGTAAAGAGGAATGATTATATGTAGCGAAATACTTACAGATAGATGCAGAGGTGGAGATTGAAGATTGAAGATTGAAGGAGTGGAAATGGATTTGATTCGAAATTATGCAGGGGTTTTGGTGTATGGAAGTATGAACAGAATTGGGGGTTTTAGTTCTCATATTTTCTAATTTGGCCCTACTACTATGGATTATTCATCTATTCACCCTTGCTACTTTTTTTTCGTTTCTTTTTCCACCCTCATTAGTAGGACCGACATTTGAGATGGGCCCGATGGATCGGCCCGGTTATATTTGAGTCGAGCCAATTTTTTAGTGAGTCGGGCTGACTTTGAGTCATATTTCTAAATTTGATTTATTTACGAGTTGAGTTTGAGCCTATTAGGGGTCAAACCGAATAGACCTTAAAAGCTAAGCTGTTTTTTCAAGTGTCAGTAGCGGAACGTTCTGTCAATCGGGGAAGGTTTTTTGTGACAAGACCTGGAGCTCAAACTCGAATGGCAATAGTTGGCCCTCGACCCGACCAATTAAGTTAATAATAAAATATGTAATACATTTATTATTTTAATGATATGACTTAACATACGTGTGCAAAAAAGGTAAAATATAAAAGGAATTAACTGGTAACGGTACAATAGGTAAAATAGAAACTAAACGCAACATACTCATCCAAACTCAATTGTCGAAATTTATCACCGAGATTTAAAAATATAAAACGTTTCCAATAAAAAGAGATACTAATCTTTCTTTTTACTTCTTGCAGACTTGTTTTTAAATTTTTCCAATACCTTGCAAAGATCGTTTAGGGTTTTCTTAGATTGGCTTCAATGGAGTTAACTCTTGTTTATCAAAATTGTTTTACGAAACTTTTTTTTACTCGTTACAGTTCTGTCGCAATGATATCCGAAAATTAAAAAAAAATACATGAGTTGAGCTTGAACATAAACTAACGAGGACCAATCGTATGTGAGTTTGAGCACATAGTATTGAAGCCCGATAATAAGTGAGCTTGAATCAACCCAAAATCGACTCACATGACCCGATCGTTAGCCATACTTATCACGGTCCAGTTGTCTTATTAGTTCAATGGACCAAATAATAGGAGTAATATTATTATCCAATAAATTTAGTAACTACTATACCCTAATTAATGGCTAGTATGATTAAGTTTATAAGTGGTGATTAAACAAGAAAAAGACCATTTTATTCATAAAAGTACTCCAAATTAATCAACAAATAAATAGTGGATATTGAGCTAATACAATCCAATCTAACCCAAATTAATTCAATTCATGTAATTAAAAGAGGCCCTATTGATTTCAAAGTCCTGTTTTTTACATAGTTGACAAAATTTTACTATATACGATTCAATGTCTCAATTCATCTTGAGTTTGCATCTTTTGATTTGAATCTCAAGAAAATTTCAAATCATAATACTTTTTTTTTAAAAAAATTAAATTAATTACACTTTTATTTAACAACTTGTTCTAAATTAGTCAATCAAAAATTCATTGATTAAAATAATTAAATAAGCAATTAAGTTCAAATCAAGTGAAGAAGTCAAACATCCACCAAAAAGAAGAACTAGTAAATAAAAACCACCACCAACCACAAGAGGGACACACCACAGCTTACCATACACCTCCGTCACACAGTATAAAAGCTCTCCCCACTCTGAAACCACCGTTCAAAAGCGCACCGTTACTGAAAATCCACCTCAGCTCTGCACCACCCATTCCTCAGCCCAGACAGCCACTGAAGAGAGGCAAATCAAAGCGGATATTTGCTAGCTTCATATTCAGATCCATTTCTTCATTCGAGCGATTGATTTTTTTTTTTTTTTTTTTTTTTTTTTTTTGTGATTTATTTAAGTTTCGAGGTGTAATTTTGTTGATTGTGAACCAGTCGATTTGATTTTTACAATGCGAGCTAGTTCTGATTCAGTTGCCGAGATTTGACCGCGATTTTGATTGTGCGCGAGGTCTGATTTTCTGGAATTTTGTTCAGCTCAAACGGATGGTAAAACCCTAGTTCCTCTTTTTTGATTCATTTCTCCATGAGTTTTTTATAAATTAAGATGATGTATTTGTGTAAGTTTTGTTTGTATCTGGTTTACTCTGGTTAAACATTGTTGGTTTCCTGAATTGTGCTTGAATTTCGTTGATTATATGAGAACTTATTTCGTGTTGCTTGAATTGGGGTTTATTTCCTAGAAATTGCATGTTTAAGGTGTTTAGTTTTTCATAGAGTTACCTTGCGGATGAACCTACGAGAATTATTTGTGTACGATATGTAAATGTACTTTGCTTGAATCTTTTTGTTATATATATGTTTACTGTCTTTTGAGAATGTTGTTCTTTGTTTTCGTACTCGTTGGCTGTGATTTGCTGGTGATTGTGATTGTATATGCTTTGCTAATATTTGACTCTTGCTGATGGATGCAGAACAGATACTGATATGAATAGGGAAGAGTTGGTAAATATCATGAATGTAAGGTCAAAACCAGCACCTCTAGTGGTTGGAAAAGGCAACGGCTTTCGGGACGATGAAGGAGAATCTAACATGGAACCACATGTAGGATTAGAATTCGATACCGCTGAAGAGGCACAGGAGTTTTACAGTGCCCATGCAAATCAAGTGGGGTTCAAAATCAGGATCGGGCAGCTGTATAGATCAAGATCCGATGGATCCGTTATTTCCCGGAGATTTGTGTGCTCAAAGGAGGGATTTCAGACGAATACAAGAACAGGTTGTGCCGCTTTCATAAGAGTGCAAAAGGCGGATACTGGGAAGTGGGTTATAGCCAGTATAAAAAAGGAACACAATCACGAATTCGAAGCCAGTGGTGAAACTTGTCCGACGACTCGGATACAGAGGAAGAGTTTTCCAACTCCACGATCGTCTTCAGGTGGGGCGAGTCGGACGGGAATCAGAACGCGTGACGAAGATAGTCCATCTAGTGTAGTTGAAATTAAGCGTCTCAAAAAGGACGAGATGGATGGAGTTGGTGGTGGACTAGCACGTGAGCCCAGTAAAGGTCTCGAATTCAATACTGCGAACGAGGCTTACAAATTCTACTACGCGTATGCGTCTAACATAGGGTTCAGAATAAGGATAGGCCAATTGTTTCGCTCCAAACACGACGGGTCGATTACATCTCGGAGATTTGTGTGCTCCAAAGAAGGGCGTCAGCATCCTTCTAGAGTTGGCTGTGGAGCGTATATGAGAATACAGAAACAAGAAACGGGAGGGTGGGTAGTTGATCGTCTTCAAAAGGAACATAATCATGAAATCGACCGTTCGACAGATCCTAGCAGAACAGCGAGTGCTGCATCAAAGGGGTATAGAGAGGAAGGAAGCAGTATTTTGGAAAACTTGGATTTAGTCGAAACAAATGAAGGCCTCAGCCTCGTCAAACGAGTTAGAGAAAGCAACATTGGAAGTGATTGGTACAATATGCTACTCGAGTACTTCCAGTCTTGTCAAGCGGAAGATACCGGATTCTTTTATGCAGTGGAAATGCGTGAGGGTAATAAAGGTATGAACATTTTCTGGGCCGATGCGCGGTCTAGATTTTCGTGCGCTCAGTTTGGAGATGCCGTTGTGTTCGATACAACTTACAGGAGATGTAATTATTCGGTCCCGTTTGCTTCGTTTGTTGGCGTTAATCATCATAGGCAGCCAGTACTTCTTGGTTGTGCTTTAATTGCCGATGAATCTGAGGAATCATTTACCTGGATCTTTCAGGCTTGGATTAGGGCAATGTCCGGGTGCCGCCCTGTGTCTATAATAGCCGATCAAGACAGGCCCATTCAACACTCAATTGCACAAGTTTTTCCTGGGACCCATCATCGTTTTTCCGCTTGGCAAATTCTTGATAAGGAACAGGAGAACTTAGGCGCACTACTCTCCATGGACGCCGAGTTCAAATACGAGTATGAAACTTGTATTTTCCAGAGCCTAACGGCCAGTGAATATGATTCCGCATGGAATATGCTTATGAACAAATATAATCTCAGAGAGAATACGTGGTTCAAGGAGATGTATCGTATGCGTAAAAGTTGGGTACCGTTGCACATAAAAGGAACATTCTTTGCTGGAATCCATGTGGATGGGAGCTTAAAGTCGTATTTCAGTCCCATTTTGACCGCCCAAACTCCGCTTAACGAATTCATTGTTCGATACGAAAAAGCTCTAGAGCAGCGCCGTGAAGAGGAAAGGAAAGAAGACTTCAACTCGTTCAATCTGCAAGCAGTTCTGCACACAAAAGATCCAATCGAAGAGCAGTGTAGAAAGCTGTACACCATGGCAATGTTCAAAGTGTTTCAAAAGGAGCTTCTAGAATGCTACAGCTACGTCGGAATAAAGATAAACGTCGAAGGGGCAATCAGCAGATATCTGGTGCAGAAATGCGGGAACGGGGAAGAGAGAAATACAGTTGCGTTCAACGCGTCGAATTTGAATATTAGCTGCAGTTGCAAATATTTCGAGTTCGAAGGCGTTCTTTGCAGGCACGCATTGAAGGTGTTTCAGATAATGAACATAAGGGAGCTCCCATCTCGCTATATCTTGCACCGATGGTGTAAGAATGCGAAATACGGTATACTTAGGGATGTTGACTCAGCAGGTGGCTCTCAAGATTTTAACGCTTTGATGACGTGGAGTTTGAGAGAGGAATCCCGTAATTATATCGAGGCAGGGGCAGCATCTTTGGAGAGGTACAAGCTCGCGTTTGAGATCATGCAAGAGGGAAGAAGAAACATCTGTTGGCAAAATTAGAGAATGTCTCGATAAAAAACACAGGTCAGAGATATCTTTTCCCTTCTATTTGTTTCTATCTTAAACCATGTAATTAAATAGAATCTATCTGTTTCTTTGTGTAACTATATATTAGAGCTTTTGGGTATTGACTCTTATTCTAGTTTATATATGTGTTTTATCAACTAGCAGAATGCTTTTTGCACTTCACCAAAATTAAAGTTGCCACCGTATTTTTCGCCGGAATTGCCATGAATCCATCCAATTGAAGGGCATTTGCGTCAATTCAGGGATGGATCACCCTAATAGCTGCTAAGTGAAGAAAAAAAACCCTTTTTTTTTACTACTGAAATTAGTAAAATGGGTCGTATTTTTCGTATATTAGAAAAGATAAGGATATTAGGATTTGGATGGGGAATAATGAAATGACTCAAATGCCCTTGAAGTGGGAATAAATGGCAATTCCGATGAAAAATACGTCGAGAATTTTGATTTGGAGCTAAGTGCAACCAGAACAAAATTTTGAACGGGAAGAGTCCCTCTTTTAAATTTGTAGAGGGGAAAGTCCCAAAATTGAAAATTTCTAGGGGGCGAAGTGCAATTTGTCTATCTCTCTCTTTTTCTTTTTTTTTTTCTTTTTTTTAATTACATTATCGAACAAGCATTTGCATTCTCATCATTGAACACCATGTGAATTTCACCATCTCCATAATAATGAACCGGCCAAGAATCATCCATAGCTTGTTCGGCCCCATTTTCTCTCTCCTGTTTTCTCTCTCTCTCTTCGTCATCTTCTTCTTCCCCGACCAAAAGCTCGACTTTTTTTCCCGTTTTCTTCTTTAGTTTCTTCTCTACTTTATGTGGATTGATTTTTCCTGTAATAACCACTCTGTGATTCGTCACGTCTGTTGTGAACGTCTCCACACCTGTTATAACCAATTCGAACGAACGGCGTTCTATCAAAAGTGTCGAAACTCACACGAATACGACCCCCTTTTCTTTTCCCTTTTAGACGGATAACGCCTAAAAACGGAGGGGGGCGAGTAATTAGAAAGGTAGAATGGAGAAAACACCTTTCATTTTGGAAATGGCTTTGGCAACAATTCTTTCACATGCATTGCAATGCATTGAGACTTTGTATTCAGCCACCACCACAACCTGCTCATTTTTAAATTGTCCCAGAAAATTGTTAATTGGTTAATCCAATCCCTCTATGATTTATTACAATCTGATATGTGTATGTATATGTATATATACATAATATGTATGTATGTATGTATGTGTTTGTATCTTACTTTTTCTGCCTTGTGTTTCTTCTCACCAGCCATTGAGAATTTGTAACTGGTGAAAGAAATCAAACAAAAAGATTGTAGACAAGAATCTAGAGGGTGGTTTAAACCGGTAATTGTCAAAAGTTAGTTATTTGAAGGTATTTAGATTTTCTTTTTTTTTTTTTTAATTGAATACTCTTCAATCTTGAGAGCCTTTTATTTCGGGGTAAAGTTAAAAAATATCCATATTATAGTGTATATCTTGTATTTAATTAGAGAATGTTTTGTTACGTTGAACCTCTATGAATTAATACAGCTGCGACGAACAAAATTCTATTAATTTATCGAAAAATTAGATTACCTAGCTGATAATTTTATAAATTAATACAGCTGAGACGAACAAAATTTTATTAATTTATCGAAAAATTAGATTACCTAGCTGATAATTTTATAAATTAATACAGCTGAGACGAACAAAATTCTATTAATTTATCGAAAAATTAGATTACCTAGCTGATAATTTTATAAATTAATACAGCTGAGACAAACAAAATTCTACTAATTTATCGAAAAATTAGATTACCAAGCTGATAATTTAATACGTTTGCACGGAGTCGAGACCCGGAGAAATTATTATTCAAGCAATGTTATTAATTTATCGAGATTCAATAAAAAAAGTTTACATATTTAAGAAAATGCCAGGTCATCATCCCTTAATATATATTTAGTTAGTATTCCCCATCTCTCCAAACCACATCATGAACACCAATATGAATTGCAGCAGTGCAGAAGAGCTGAGTTCCACTCACCATTATCAATATTGTTTCCAAAGTTCTCTGAAAAATAAATATTCAAATAAATAAATAAATGAATTCATATTATTTATTTTTATTTATTTATCAAAATTGTGAAATCTCCTTACCAAATTTGAGTCTGTCCAGCCTATATCAATCTCCTTGCATGCAAACCTGCAAGTAAGTAAACACAAAAGTACATACAATTGTTTTTTTCTTCTCTATTTTCTACAAATTATAATTTTATGGAAAAATTATGAAAACCCCCTTAACTTAGGTCAAATTATGAAAAACACCTCACCTATCCGTAATTACTAGAATCCCCTCACGTTTGTATATGTCTTACACCGACCCCCTTACGGTGTGATTTTTCACGTAATCTTTTTGAGTACAGGGAATATTTCCCGAAAAATACCAATTATACCCTGTGGAAGTGGAATTTCTTTTATATTACTTTTTAAAGGTAAAAAATACTCTAAAAGGGCTATTGGTAATACTAAAAAGTTGTGAATGGGTCTCAAAAGTAGCATGCATAAATGCTCGTCTGCAAAGGTAGAATCGACATTTTTCGAGGAATATTTCATGTAATAAAAAATATTTCGGGAAAAATCATGTCATACGGGGTTTGGTGTAACTACGGATAGCTGGGTTGTTTTTCATAAATTAGCCTAAGTTCAGAGAGGTTTCGTAATTCACCCTAATTTTTACTATGAAAAATAAAACTAGAAAAAGAAAGAAAAGACTGTTTTACCCCATAGCCAGGACAGTGAGCAGCAAAGACACAAGAGATGACGTGGCAGCTGCATGCAGATTCGGAGCATTCCATTGGATGACATGATTGATTCCAACAATGGAGGTGGTGAATCCCACAACACCAGCTATTAGTGATGAAATTACCACAAAACCAGTTGCCATGTTCCCAAAAGGGTAGTATATTGGGAAAATCCTAGCAGGAATTGCCAACACAGATGCTGCAAAAATAATATACCATAAAAAAAAAATCGAGAATTTTCGTTACGCTATGTTATTTATGAAGATAAACGGTACCTACCCTTTTCGTGCGATTTTTCGATTCCGTGATTTGCAGCCCATGCAGCTATAGCAATGATGATGAAATAGAGGAAAATGTTTAGTACTAAAAGACTGAATGCTGCTGATTTTCCTGCTCCAGATGCCATTGTTTTGTCAACTTTTTTTTTTTTTTTTAGCAGAATTGTATGCACAATTCTTGATATATATATGTATGTATATATATATATATATATATATATATATATATATATATGTGTGTGTGTGTGTGTGTATGTGTGTGTGTGTGTTATATTCTTTGTCAAGAAAACATTCTTTGTAATATTCTATGGTTATGCTCTTGCTTAATGGAAAGGAAAAGAACCTCATTTTTTTGCCCTACAAGTTGGAAAACTACATCTTGATGCTTTCTTCTTACATAAGCTAAAAAAATATTAATAATAATAACAATAAAAAAAAAATGTCTATTTTTTTTTAAATTTAATTCCTGAAAGTAATGAGAAATACATAAATCAAAGTGAAAATGAGGGCCAAATCCCAACATCTAAAGTTGTAGGAACTATTTGAGCTTTGGAATTGCCATTGCTCATTTTTTTAGTCCTTTATTTACAAAAAAAAAATAAAAAAATCCGACAAACGAGTCTAATAAAAACGATAATTTAATTTAATTTATTTGGCTAATTCGCGATTTATGGCTTCCATAAAAGTGTAGTTTCGGCAAGTAAAGCAGTCACGACATACGGATCCATGTTCGAAGCAGGGCGCCTGTCTTCCAAATAACCTAAAATTGAAAAGCATTTTTTTTCAAGATTTAGCAATATATAAATATAAGCCTCGAGAAAATGCAAAAATACGATAGGGTTCTCTAGTTAGTTATATACCTTTCCCTTCCTTTTCAGTGTCACGCCCCACACGAATCGAGCAACCACGGTTAGCAACACCCTGAAAAAAAAAATATTCAATTATGTCATGCAAAAATCGAAGAAAAAAAAATTTAATTTTTTTTTTCGATTTTTTTACCCATGAAAATTTGTCGATGCTGGCAGTTTCGTGCTTTCCGGTCAATCTTCTCTCGTTTCCTTCTCCGTAAGCACTAATATGCTCTTTGTGACGAAGTGATAGGTTGTAGATTGCTTTCTTTATTACTTCAAATCCTCCTTCTTCTCTCATACTTTTCGTGCTGCAAAATCGAAATTAAATAATTATGTAATTAAGTAATTACATTAATCAAGTTTAAATACATTATGCTAATTACTATTAGCCCAATAAATTCACCTGTAATTAGTGTGGCATCCAGCACCATTCCAATCACCCTAGACATTATTTGCATAATAAAAGGCAAAATTAGATTTTTATTTATTTTATTTTAATTTATTTTATCTTTATGTAATAAAAGTTCTTTAATTTAGAGCACACCTCTATTGGTTTTGGATCAAGAGAGAGTACAACTCCAGCTTGTTCTGTAATTCTCTGTCATCATAAATAAAACATCTTTGTCTTAAGTCAGACAACAAATTTAGATTAACGAAATCACGAAACCGATAAATCTTACAAAAAAAAATAAAAATAAACCCGACGTACCTCAAGAAGGTACCTCGCGCACCAAATGTGATCTCCAGCTTCGATTCCAACACTAGGACCAACTTGGAATTCCCACTTCAAGAAGAAAAAATCGAGTTTAAATATTTAATAGTACGAAAATGCATCTATATATATAGATATAGATATAGATATAGATATAGATATACCTGACCAGGCATAACTTCTCCATTAGTACCACTAATATTGATCCCCGCGTATAAGCAAGCTTTGTAATGTGCATCGGATATATCGCGACCAAACGACTTATCTGCTCCAGCAGCACAGTAATAAGGTCCCTAAAAACCGATTTAACCGTTAGATTTTAACACCATTCCAAATTTTTTTTTTCTGATTTAAGTTCGATTTCTATAATTTACTAGAAAAAAATAATGAAATCGACATTTTATTGAGAAAAAAAAAACATTACCTGAGGGCCGGGGTAGCCTCCAACGGGCTAACCGAGCGGCCATTTTACGTTAGTTTGGAGTAGGGTATATTCTTGTTCGATACCATACCTAATTTCAAGAATTAGAATATGAAAAACGGAACATAGAAAAAAAGACGAATATTTATACTGAAAATCGAGTCCTATTAATTTATTAGAAAATGTGAGATGAGAAATTACCATGGAACTTCGGCCACAACTTTCGGATCACTGAAAATCTGAGCAGCTTTGTAGCGTTTGTTTGTCGGGATTGGCTCTCCTTGTGGTGTATATGTATCACATATGACCTATACATACATATATACATATATATAAGAAACCGATTTATTTTATTATTTAGTGTATTTGACCAGGTGTAACATCAACAAGACGACTCACCAAAATGTTATTGCCGCCTCGGAATGGATCCTTGAAGATTGCTTGTGGGCTACAAATATAGAATTATTACAAATCAAGAAATATACATACACAAATGTGTATCTATATATATGTATATATGCAGATGATCTTACTATAGAATGACTTCACTGTCTTCTCCAGGAGCTTGTCCGGTACTCGATCCATCGTAGTTCCATTTCGGTAGCTCAGAAGGGTGTTCGACCGGTTTCGCTAATGTCTGAAAATCGTAAAAAATAATGAAAATAAATAAATAAAACATTAATGATTTGGAAAGAAAAAAAGTGGAACGAAATCCGGCTTGTAATCCTCACCCTTGATTTACTACGAACATCGATTCCCGACCCTCCGATCCTGTCACAAAGGAATCAATAAAATCATGTCACATTAGTACAAATTTTAAAAAATAAATTAAAAATTAGTGGATTAATCTAACTCATGTTTAAATAATGTTGTTTTTTTTTAATTTTTTTTATAATACTGTTAAACCTCTATAAATTAATGCAGTCGAAACTAACAAAATTCGATTAATTTAGCGAAATATTTTATTATTGAACTAATAATTTAGTAGATTTTTAGCGAGTCGGGATCAGAAGAAACTATTATTTAAGCAAGCGTTATTAATTTATCGAGGTTAAAACTGTAATTACCAAAGAGAGAGAGAGAGAGAGAGAGAGAGAGAGAGAGAGAGAGAGAGAGAGAGAACCTTGAAACTGCAGGAAAATGGCTTGGGGAGAGAGAGAGAGAGAGAGAGAGAGAGAGAGGGGGCAAGTGAGAAGAGAAACAGAGCAAGTGTTATAAGAATGGAGGGAGAAGAATATGAGGAGATTCGTTTTGGCTTTTGATTAGCAGATAGGGGTAATGTGTTTTTTGTGGAGGAAATTTACAAAGTTACAAACACAAGAAAAACACATTAAGATAAGCCCTCTCTCTCCTCTTCTCTCTCTCTCATGTGGTACATTGATTGAAGTACAGACAATAACTTGATTACCTGGATTATTAAAATATATTGTTCATTGGCAAGTAAAGGGGAATCTAGAACGATGATTGCAATGTTCAAATTCAACTATGTTAACATCGAATTGTTATAATCGAATTGTTTAATTGTTGGTCAGACTAATAAACAAATATATATGTAAGTTGCATGTTCATGGCAGTTTCAAGTTTTGCTTTCTTGCCCTATGGGATTCTCAACGGATTCCCAATGTATTTTTAAGGGTAAATTATGGTCACGAGCTAATGTTAAATTACAAAAAAAATATTTTTATTTAGATAATTACAATTATCTTCTTGAACTATGATTTTCTTACATTTGCACATTTATCGTGTCAAATTCAACATAATCTTCTAGATTATGCATGTGGAATGTTCTATAGTTTGTACTCGTTTTGTGCAAACATGCAGTTTATGATGCAACCAAAATCTGATATTTGTAAGTCCAGAGACACATCTTATGATCATCTTGTTCAAAAATGTCAACCTCGAATAAACATGTACAAAAACGGGAGAATATTCCACATAATCTAGAAGATTCCACTAAATTTAACATCGTAATGATCAACACGTAAGAAAATTCATCGTTGAGAGAATGGTTATAATTACCTAAACGTGAAAGTTTTTTCTTTTTGTGTTTTGACCTTACCTCATGGGTTGCAGTAATTTACCGTATTTTCGATGGTGCCACTGATGCACCAATTAATATTTTCTCACTAACAAAATAAGATAAATAGTGTAATGTCATAATCACACAATTCCTATTATATATATATATATATATATATATATATATATATCCTATTATATATATATATATATATATATATATATATATATATATATATATATATATATATATATATATATATATATATATATATATATATATATATGGGTATATGTGCTTTCTTCGAAGAAGGGCTAGAAGATGGTTTCTATATCATTCTTTTGCACTTTTGGGACCATTTGATTGAGATAACTAGTTGAAATATATTAAAGGTGCACCTTTTTTAAGTTTTCACTTTTGAATCCTAGATCTCAGATTTGGTGGCTCAATTATACAATGTTTATAACCAACAAATATCGCACTTTTTGACATTTTAAGATGGGGTAACTATAGATAAATTCTCAAATGAAAGTGTAAAACGCTAGTCAGTCTCTATATAGTTTTCGAAAGTGTATCAATCCATATTTTAGAAGTGTAAGATGCATATCAACCCCTATGATAAGTGAAAATTCCCTAGTTCAGAAGTTTAAGATGCGGATCGATCCCTATAGTAGGTGAAAAATACTAAAATACATTTACTCAAATACAATTACTTAACGTGAACCGGCAGTTCACGGTTCACATTATTCATGAACCGGGATCGTTCCGAGCAACACGAGCCGGTTCACGATTCTGGTACCGATTCACCGGTCAACGAAACGGTCCGGTTCATCAACGGGCCGGTTCCGAGCCGAAAACTATCCCATAATCATGTCTAACTTCAGAAAGGGACTTAAGACTGGTGAGACTGTTATTGCCGTTTTCAGAACTCATTTTTTATATCTTTTATTTATGTTATGTAAAAGTATAGAATCAGTGTTCATATACCTACCTATTTATAGAGTCACTTTAAATTAGGGTTTCTTCTGTACAACAGCCGAAAGCAAGTACGTCACAGTATACTGGATTTAAGTTAGGATTTTAATGCGCAGTCGCCAAGTGCAAATACGTCACAATATACTGGACTTAGGGGTTTTCTGCGCAACCGCCAATGACAAATACATCACAGTATACTGGACTTAGGGTTTTCTTCGCAGCCGCCAAAGGCAAATACATCACTTTATACTGGACATAGGGTATTTCTGCGCAGCCACCAATGTCAAATACGTCACAGTTTACTGGATTTAAATTAGGGTTTTGCTGCGCAACCATCGAGGTCAAATACGTCACAGTATACTGGATCTAAATTAGGCTTCTACTACGCAGTCACCAAGGGCAAATACGTCACAGTATACTAGATTTAAATTAGGTTCCTTCTCGCCCTTAGTGCGAGTGCAGAAGGTCAATCGGCTATCGATAACAATCTTACTAAGATTCGATTCATGCTGAACGAATGATGGCCGACCGTGGCTGACGCAATGTTAGCAATGTTCGACCCCTCGCCACAGAAGCCGCTTGAGGAGTTGGATGGATGGAATTTGTTTATACTAATTCATTACAAAATGAAGCAAAAATAAGTAATATTTTATTTATTTTATGTAAAATAGTATGACTTAACAATGAAGCAAAAATAAGTAATATTTTATTTATTTTATGTAAAATAGTATGACTTAACAATAATATTTTATATTGTAATAATAAATATGAAAAAGTATATAAATTTACATAAAAGAATAGAAAAAAAAATACAAAAAAATGAAGGGTCAAAACTTATATTTATACAAAATTAGGGAGCCAAAACCCAAATCTTAAATATTACTCAAAATTATTTATAAAAAAAAAAATTAATCTTGGGGAATCCACAACCCCTACTGCCCCTCTTATGTTCCGCCCCTGATCCCCACATAGTTTCCGAAAGTGTATCAGTCCCTATTTCAGAAGTTTAAGATGATGAGCAGTCCCTATGATAGGTGAAATTGAAAATACTAAAATACATTTACTTTAATCTGGTTTACATGTTTTTTCCTTCAACTCCCAACGCGACGATTGAGTTATACGCTCTTCCTTCCCGTTATAATTCAAAAATTAATTTTCAGTTCTTTTTTTCAAACAACGAACGAGAATTAAACAAAACGATGGAAGGAAAAAAAAGGCTTCTTAATCACTACATAACTCCCGAAAGAACAATAACAAAGAAGTAAATATGGACGTGTAAGAAGATTCATAGTTGATGGGTGGTTGTATTTACCTAAATAAGATTGGTTTTTTTATAATTTGACCTTACCTCAGGAAGGTGGCCGTAATTTACCATAACTTTTAAAAGGTAAAACCTGTGAATAAACTTTTAACACAGAGTCCTTGTTAATTTGCTCACATATGGGCTCTATATATTGTCTTTCCAAATCGGGCCGGGCCCAATTGAAGTGATCCATTAAGCCCAGTCTCTTCACTTAGAATTGCTTCAGTCTTCAGCCCAAATCAAAGCTCAAAACGGCGTCGTTTCCATCAACACCCAATTCTGCGACTTTTGGCTTTTGCCCTAATTTCAGAATTGTGTATGTTTATTTATTTATTACTAAGAATATTACATAGATATGTGACTAACTTATGATTAAAAACTATATTTATGTTTTAAAAATACTACGACAAGGCATAAAATCAATGTTGCAAATACAAAGAATAAAAATCAAAGAATACTCAATTTTTTCTTGCTTATTCATTTCCAAGAAAATTATATAAAAATAAAATAAATAAAAATAAATAAATTATACAAACATATCTTCATAACTCTCTGCACCACTTCAATTTTTCACTTCTTCCAGCAACTGAATTGCTATTCCAACAAGAGAATCCATAGCCATTTTGTACCGACACAATCCAACGGTTCCCGAGAATATATTAAAATTCTCGAGCTCCGAAGTTGTCTCCATAACAGAATCGAGCTCCTCCATAATTCCCAAACTCTCGAAACTTCGTATATTCGTATTATTATCTCTCATCATCCAAATAGCCATCTCTATAGCACACCTTCTTATGCTCGGAACTTTTATCGAAGGGTGCCGATATTTCTTCAATACCATAAAAATCCGATGAGCCAAATCGAATTCCCTAATTCCACACCGCTCGTACATTATTCTCGAGTCTTGAGAATTCATGAATTTGAATATGCATGCTCCTGCACCAAGCATCACTTCCTGCAATTTGTTCTCCTCTTTCATTATAGCTTCGAGAATCTGCGATAAATAGACGTAAAAAAAGTTAGAATATAGTCAATATATTTTTTTTCTTCCTATTATTATATTTTGTATGCTAGTCCTATTCGGTTTGGAAATTGGATGGATCAAATCGGAATTAACACTTTCTGAAAAATTTGGATTTGTTTTTAGGAAGTGAAAAAATAATTCCAGTTCCGGTCCAAAAAAGGTCGGAAAAATTGGAAATCGGGATTTCAGAAATTGGGATGTAATAGCTTGTTCCACAATCAGAAAATGTTCGGATTTGAATTGAGGGAAATCGGAATTTCAGAAATTGGGATTTAAAAGCTTGTTCCCAAAATCGGAAAATGTTCGGATTTGAATTGAGTGAAACCGGAATTTCAGAAATTGGGATGTAAAAGCTTGTTCCAAAATCGAAAAATGTTTGGATTTGAATTGAGGGAATTTGAAAAGTTCCAATTTCTACTCATCTAAAAGTGCAATTTTCGGAAAATTAAAATCGGATCGGTAGTCAAAATCTTATATATATTCCAATTCCATCCCCAAAAAAATCGGAAATTGGGATTTTCGGGATTCGGGATGAAAAATATCGTTCCAAAATCGGAAAATCGGATCAAAATTGTTTTAAAAAAAACAGAAAAATTAAATACGAACTTACAATAGGAGCTGCAGCAGTTAACCCCTTCAACTTCTGAAATCCATCACTCCCACTATAAGCACACAAATTCCTCAAAATCCGCGCTGCGTTAACACGAAGCAATGGATTCTCCAAAGCCCTAACGAGATCCTCGTTTATCCTCAGCTTAAGAATCCTCTGACAAGTGTTCTTGCTCTCGAGCGCCAGCATGGCGATCGCTTCTCCGGCGCACGATCTGACGTGGCAATAACTCTCCGGTATCTCATCATTAAAGAAAATATCAAACAAAACCCTAAGCACTCCCCCGGTCCCACCAATCCTCTCGGTGGCGTCCTCTTCGATAGCCAAACTCGTCAATATCTCGATTCCCAATATTTGCAGCTCCGGTTGATTTCCACCGTGTCGTAAAATATCGCGTATATAACTAATAGTGAAAACAATCTCCGATATTTCCTTCCGCAGTTGCTTTCCTGCAGTTCCTGCAGTGCTGGCTAGCATCTTCAACACTTGTAGCGACCGTTTAACTGTCACGATTTGAGAAGGCGTAACCGTCGGATGCTTCAAAAGCCGCTCCTCCGCGAGGGTAAAATCGACAATTTTGGGCAATAGCCCCTTCGTATTTCCGATTTTGCCACATATATCGTGATCGCGTGCGAGTTTTTTCAAGATTTGCAGCCCTAGATGATTGAACGACCAAGAACCGTAATTCTCGGTATCGACTATAATTCTCTTCTCGGAAATTTCGTCACACGCGCAGCTATGGCTCCTGCTGACGTGGAGCAAAGACGAAATCGACTCCATGGACCCCGCAATGCCGGCAATTCTCAAGGAGTTCTGTTTTCTACCGGATAATTTCGATATAATTTCAGCTGCCGAATATCGAATCTCCTCTTCATCAATGTCTTTCCAGTTCAGCATTTCGACCAGCCTTTCCATTACTGGTAAACTGATCCCGATTTTCTGAAGGGTATCTTCGGAAAAACGGGGGTTCACGGAGAATTTTCTCAAGATTCGCGCTCCGATCAGCTGTTCGTCGGGCGAACTCGAGGCTAAAAGCTCCATTGCAAAAGAAACCATGTCCATTTTCAAGCCATCGAATATGCTGCCATTAATGCACCGCGAGTAAGCGTCGTAGAAGAATCTGCGAATCGAGACCAACCCCGAATCGCCCAATTCGCAGTCTTTGTTAACGGAATCGAGCAAACGGGTGAAGCTGACTTTGTATTCCCAATAGGCTTTCTCCAAGAGGAAAAGCAGAGCTTCGGATAACGCGAGTGAGTAGAAGATAATTAAGGCGGCTTTTCTGTTTCGTTTATCGCTCTGGTCTTTTTCGACTTCTCCGTAGTTGCGGTGGACGAGCTTCATCGTCGAGAGAGTTACGCAGGCTACGGCGGAAGCGATTTGGAGCCAGTACAAAACCCGGCTCACGTTTTTCGATAGGAATACCCATTTGGCGTAGGGGAGAAGGGGGACTTCGGAGCTGGTCCATGTCCGGGTGGGCAATTTTTGACCGGTCCAGATTTTCCGGTCGGGTCGGGTTTTTTCGCCGGAGAGTTCTCGTCTCTGTAATTGGGTGCCGGTTCGGGAGGGGAGGACCGGGCTGCAGGCGGATTTGATTGTTCTGATGAAGGAATTGGAGCTGGATTTGATGGCGCGGAAGCTGGAGATTCCGACGTCGGTGATTGTCCACGTGGCCTGGTGCTGCCACTCGAGCTCGCGGCTGCGGCTGAAGATTCGGGTGCCCTCGATTAGGAGGATGACGGTGATGTACCAGAAGTCGGTTTTGTCGAGGGTGATGGCGAAGCCGCCGAGGAGGACGACGGTCGCCCAGATGAAACCTAGGGTTCCGAGGCCGGAGGCGGTTTTCTCCAGGACGGCGAGGCGGAGGGCGAAGAGTGTGAGCTTTTTCTCCGGCGCTCTGATTGACGGCCGGGTTGTGGGCGGGAGCTCGTTGGCGGCGGCGGTGCTGCTGGTTTTGGTTCCGATGCTGCCGTTTTGGGGCTCGAAGATGGTGGGGCTGGTGGTTTCACCGCCGTCGTCGCTGAACTTGGATTTGAGCTTGGAAATCTGGATATGGACACTGCCGGCGGCGGCGGCGCCGCCGCCGCCTTCACTCTCTATGGATGATGATCCCTTGTGGTCCATTTTGCGGCGGCGGAATACACCCGATTTGGACGGAATGAAATAATGGATTGATTGAGCATGAAAAAAAAAATCAATGGAGAAATTTGAAAATGAAAAGGTTTTGGTTGAGAAGAAGAAGAAGAAGCAGGTGGAAAATGAATTATTGCAATTTGTGTTTTGAATTGTTTGTGGATATATATATATATATATATATATATATAAATAAAATAATAATATATTATATATATAAATAAATTAATTAATAAATTAATTAAAGGAAGGAAAAAATGAGCTTAGGGGGCACGTTGAAGGAGTGGAAATGGGGAAAGAAAATTGTTAAGTTGCGTCTCTTTTGTATTTATTGTTTTTCTTGGCAAGTTAGTTTTTTCTGTTTTCTTTTTTTTTTTTTTGCTTTTATTTATTTATTAAATTGTTTTATGATTTGTTTTTGTTAGGCTGCGGGCAACTCTTTTTATGAACCATGCATGATGCATCCAATGAAATTTATTACTTTGTTTTTAAATAAAATAATATACCATTATACCTCATTCAAAATATAGATAACTCCATTAAATACATAAGCAATATCACTTTTTAACCTTTTTTTTTTCTAAAAAAATATTTAGGTAAATTACGGCAAACCCCTGAAGTAAGGTCAAATTATGAAAAAAAAACCCTTTTGTTTGGGTAATTACAACCACCCCCTTCAAGTATGAATTTTCTTACAACGTCCACCATTATGGTGTCAAATTCAACAACATCTTTTAGATTACGTGGAATGTTATGTAGTTCGTACTCGATTTGTGCAAAAATACAGTTTTATGATCATCTTGTTTCAAAATGTGGAGCTCGAATGAGATAAAATGGGTATAAATTGGAGAATATTTCACATAATCTAGAAGATTCTACTAAATTTGACACAACAATGATGGACGTGTAAGAAGATTCATAGTTGAGAGGATTGTTGTAATTATCCAAACAAGATGGGTTCTTTTATAATTTGACCTTACTTCAGGGGTCGTGACCGTAATTTACCCTTATCTTTTTAGCTTGGGCATTACTCAAATAAGTTTCAAAAGTTTTTTCTTCCATAACAAAAAGGCAATAAAGCAATTCTTCTTTTTGCACCCTTTCTTTTTATTTATTTATTTACAAGGCCTCGTATTTAAAAAAAAATCTTGTTTTTACTATATATACATTTCATAGGCCGACCAAATCTAACGAGATCATAATAATTAGATGTGAATTATGACAAATTGACTTTCAATTATTGGAATACCATGAATACAAGTCAATTGCTATGTGAACCCTTTCTTCTTTTTATTTTTTATTTTTTTACAATTTGTTATTTATTAAAATTCAATTAGTTGTGGATGAGTAATAATTTTAATAATTTTGACAAAAAATTCAATATCTTTGATTAAAAGATTGAGGATTATTTTACAAGTTCTTCGTCAACTAAGCGATCGACGACAAATGTGAATTATAATCATTATTTTTTTACACCAATTTGATTAGGTTGTAATTGAGTTATTGAAAGTAATGTCACATCAAAACAGTGGATAAACAACTCTGTTCTATGCTAAACTCGATGAATTTCATCGGATTATATTCTGCAATATAACATAGTATATAACATTTATAAGTTTGGGAAGAACATTTGACTAATTCTCTTATATTCTTGTGAATTTAATCAACACCAAAATTAGTTATTATTATCAACCCTCATGAGATTTGTAACATATTTTGAATTTCTTGAATTTTTTTTTTAATATTATTGAAAATATTTTTTAATGTGCAATTTGGGCAATATAATTAGTTATTGCTTGGAGGATTGGATAATACAAGTCTTCTTGAGTCAAGCTAAAGGCTGCTATATATGTATGGGTCCCACTGCCTCAATCTTTATTTAATCTATGACTAAATATTTATTTAATCTTTAATCATGCGATGAATTATGTACAAAGGTCTATTTATTTATTATTTTAAAGAAAAATCAATAAAATTAAAAAAAAAAAAATGAAGTAATAGAAAATCCATGGAAATTTGTATTTATTTATACAAGTACTTGTAGACAAATAAGGGCGTCAGTACTTTGAAAATCTAACTCATTTTTTTTTATATATATATAATTAATTAAATCAAGATTTAAGGTCGACTTGTGTATTTTTAATCAAATTAACACAAAAGGATTAACCCATTAATCAAGGATAATTAAGTTATTTGCTGTGTTTTGGCTGGCAACTTACCTTTGAATACAACATATAATAATAGGGTTTATTGATTGTCTTTTCTTGACTTTAGTTGGTAATAATAAACACAATTTTGCATATATAAGCAATGATTTCATTTTTTATTTTTAATAATCAATTGCCACCCTTGCAAGTCTGACTTGGTATTTATGAAACCTAAAACAATAAGTAATTAATATTATTTTATATATCTGAAATGTTAAATGTCATCTATCGGTTTGACTTCGAACGTGATTTTGACTATTTTTCAATCTAATTTCGGCAAAAAGTTAAAGCTTTCTAATGTAACACTTGAATCAACTAAACTGAATGTCAGGTGACAAAATTATATATGAACGAATTACATTTTAAATTTTAAATAACTCAAAACATCAAAGTTGTTGGCGATATTCGTTGAATTATGCAGTAATTCTAATTAATATTTATTTAATTTAATCAAAGCCAAAAATTCAAATATGCTAGCCATGTTGTACCTTGCAGTTCAATTCAATTTTCAATACATAGTCTCCACTCTTTCAACAAATAAAAGAAATCAATCAAGGGTGGCCTAGCGGTTGGAGCAAGTGAGCTTGGGTCAATTGACCCAAGTTCGAATCCCCTTGCCAACGGTCGCTAGGTCGAGCTTGTCACACATGGTTAGCCTAGTGTGGTTTACATCTCTCGTATGGTTTGCAAGCTATTATACGAGAGTGTAGGTTTACCCAGTGCACCTATATGGTTGGCTGCGGGTTCCTGCATTACCAAAAAAAAAAAAAAAAAAAAAAAAGAAATCAATTTCCTGCAAGTGTTCATATTTCTTTATTTTCTCAACAAACATTAAACAACTTTCTTAGGTTTAAAAACGAATATACCTACCATGTTGTAATAAGATATATCTGTCCTGCCCATCTGCAGATGTGAGAGGCCAATTGGCATATATACAATGTATATACGCGTACTGATAACTACCCACTCTGCACACATACAAGTGTGTAGATCTATTCGAACGAATATGTATATATATTATCTCATAAATTGACTAGAGATGCATCCTTTTATTTGCTATAACTAACAAGAAAAATTCGAACAACCTCCCAAAACCTATCTCGAAACCAAATTACGATGAAACCCTACTCATCAATCTAAATGCGAAAAAAACGTTAATGCAAGTCCGGCGACTTCGAAATCACAAACAAGACAAATCTCACAAAGTTAGTAGAATTTGTATGTAACAAACAGATTACAAGAAATATCACCACGAGTTACCTAAATCGCCGCTCGCCTTTGATGCACTTTAGCCTTTTCGGCGTCGATAATGGAGCCCACAATCTCCACCGATCTCTCCAAATCACCTTCCTTATTCACAACAACATAATCGAACTCGTTCAAATTCTTAAGCTCTTCCTTAGCCGAAGCAACCCTCATAAGCAACGCCTCTTTACTCTCCGTTTTCCGACCAATCAATCTCTTCACCAAAGCCTCTTCACTTTCCGCCACTAAAAACACGAAAATCGCACTATCTTTCAATATCCTTCTCAGAGTCGAAGCACCCTGTATATCGACTCTCAACACGATATCGTACCCTTTCGCCATGTAATCCCTAATTTGCTTTTTCGGGACCCCTTTATAATCACCGTAAACCAATGCATACTCCAAGAACTCGTTTTTTTCGATCATCGATAAAAACTCGTCTTTGCTGATAAAAAAGTAATCTTTGCCGTCGATTTCTCCGGGTCTTTTCGCGCGGCTAGTGGCCGTGACAACGAAATGCAAATCTTTTCGAACTTCTCTCAATCTTTTGATCACGGCATCTTTTCCTACGCCGCTGGGCCCACTGAATACGATGATCTGAGGGTTAGGGTTTGGGGCGATGGGTTCGGAGCTGAATTTCGAGCCCAATGAGTCTTCTAGAGACCGAAAAACTTCGACCCGACCCGCATCGGTTGCGGTGTTTACTGCAACAGGGGTGTGCGAATTCGCTGAAATTGTTCTGCGGAATCTGGATTTTAGGGTTTCGAAATTCCGCGAACGTATCGAATAGGATTGCGAATTGGGGAAAGGGTTTATCAGGAATGGGGAAATTGGAAATGGGGTGTGGTGGGATTTTGAGATGGAGAAGCAGATTCTTCGGATTAGCATTGAATTTACTGGAACTGGAATTAGCAACGCAACTGCTTAAATACAAAAATTCAGCTTCAATCGAATTTAGGAATAATAAGAACCTTAAACTCCGATAATGTGGGTGAATTAAGTGTCGGATTTCCTTTTTTTGCCGCCAATTTGGGGAGAATCAGAGACTCCGATTGAAGAAATGAAATTAGGGTTTATCTGATTTTTTTTCCTCCCCCTTTCTTCTGGATTTTACATGGGCCCGAAATTGGAATTGGGTTATTAGATGAAGCCCATATTTGTTGGACTGGGCTTCTGGACTTTACATGGGCCCGAAAGGGAATACCCGATTGTATTACTTTGAGTTAGTCTTTTTAGTACAACTTAAATCAGCTAGATTGAATGCTGCGTTACTAAATCATGCATCAATGTGTTACATTTTGAATTTTATATAACTTAAAACAACAAACTTGTGGGAAACGTTCATTGATTCATGCATATTTTTCCCATTCGACATCCAATTTTGATGATCCAAGTTAGATTAGAAAGTCAATTAAAAAACTACAATATTCCGTGTTCTGAATTTTGTCAAATTCAGACTCGAAAATGGACAAAATCGATACTTATCACATCCCTTTACAAAATTATTTAATTAATTTGGCCCTCATGGAATCACTCATGTAATGAAAAAAAAATAACAAATATATATATATATATATATATATATATATATATATATATATATATATATATATATATGATGAGGGTTTAGATAAAAATGGTGGTGGACTTGTTAAAAGGCATAAGCATTATTACAAGTCACTAGGTCTCACCCACCAACAAATCATCATGTGTATGCCAACTATGCCTAAAAAAAGCTGCACGCCAAACAAATCATAGGCAAAATTTAATTATTTTTATTTAAGATAAAATAAAATAGAATAAATAGGAGCTTTTTATTACAACCTAAAGCAATATATGTCATCACAAAAGGCCAACTTATGATAGGGATATACCACCATGTCTTCATCTCTACCCACCCCTAACCACTATAGAATCTTTTTTTAGTATTTCTTGAAAACCAAATCACTTACATAAATATATAGGCACGTGGTTAAGTGTGTCCATCATACACTAATTTTGGATTGATTTAATCTAATCCACATTCTAATCTTGAAGCTCTAATTTGGATTAAGATGGTGGTTGTAAAAGCTTATTCAAATGTAGAAGTTAGTGATGATCAGTTAAATGAATATTATGTGTTTATTTCTAAAAGTTGAAGGTATTTGCAAGTAAACTGGAAAATCAACTTAAAATTAAAAAAAAAAAAGGTTTGTGGGTGCTTTAGGAAAATAGCTTAAACCCGATAATTTTAAGAGAAACAAGAGCTAAAATTAATTGCAAGTACCTAAAACCAAATTATAAGCTAAGAAAAAGCTCAAAAGCTATTTCTAAAAGCTGACGAAAAAAAGAAGGTTTGGATAAGCTCTTGGTTTCTTCTAAATTTCTTTAAACATTTACAAGTAATTGGGAATATAAAATGATTTTGCAATTTGCCGAAGAATTATGTATATTTTGTGAAGCAAGTTTAACATTAAAAGAAGCTCTATAAATTCTTTGACTTGGTTTTTATATCAGTTACTACTACTGTACATTGCACTATAGTGTACTTTCCACCTAATTAGCCAAGTATAATAACAAACCACCCCCCATATCTCTCTCTCTCTCTCTCTCTCTCTCACACACACACACACACACACAAACACACACACACACACACACACAGTGTGCCCCCATAACTTATAGCTGCTCCAAAGCATTGGGTTTTGATATTAACTTTGTAAAAACCAACCACATTGCACCAATCTTGAATTCCTCTTGAGATCTCCATTTTCCTAATTCTTACCTGTTTTCACTACCAATACACCAACAAAACACACGCACACAGTTTCTTGAATCAAAACCCCAAAACACACACAAACAAAAGGAAGGTGATGAAGGGTTTGTGAAGAATCAAACAATGGAGGTAGCAACACACATGAAGTGCAGCAACATATGGGAAAGTATAATAGGACAAACAAAGGTGGCCCAATCAAAGGGCAGCGATCCGATGACGTGGTCGATAGAAATATCGTCGGAATTGAGGTCACTTGGAATAAGTTTGCCTTGTGTTGAATTAGGCAAACATTTAGTATCACACATTTGCTGGCAAAACAATGTACCCATTGCTTGGAAGTTCTTGGAACAAGCTTTATCTCTCAAGATTGTGCCACCTTTTCTTGTTCTTGCCTTGCTCTCTTT